ACGCACACAGGAATGATTGCATACTGTCACAAATAACAGGACTAGCCTCCAATGTTATTATGAAGAGCAATATCACAGGAAAGGGAGAGCTTTTTGGAAAATTAGAGTTTTGCCACAGTGTCCCCACTTCTGACAATGCCACGGTGCTGGAATGCCCCTAAACTGCTGCCAGGCCCAACCATTAGGTTGCTGTTGTCACTGATGTGATGAGTGATTTCACTTAGGAATAAAGAAGTTGATGATTAAGCAGGCTAAGTGGAGCTGAGAAAAATACACAAAAATCAAGTATGTTTTCTAAAGACCAAAGCTAGTAATGTGACTACAAAAAAGAAGCAGGGGGTGTCAGGGGGTCCACTCATATGCTGATATTGGTGTAACAAACCTTTTTAAAGTGACACTAAACTTAGGAGTTAAAACTTAAAAAAAGGAATTAAAGGAGAACTATGAGGTGAGTGCTTTTCACTCACCTCATAGTTCTAGCCGACCTGTGACAATGAGACTGTCACAGGTCGGCTCAGTAGATCGGGAGGTGAGGGAACACATACCGGGTTCGCTCACCTCTCGATCCTGTCACAGCTCTCTGCCGTGACAGGGGAGGGACTGGATTCCCCCCTCCCCGCTCCGATCCTCCAGCGCTGACTGACGGAACAGAGCCAGCTGTCACTCACGGAGCTGGGCGGATCCAGACATACTGTAATTGTCGGGATCCGCTTCAGCTGCGGCGTCTCAGTATACCGCAAGCTGTAGCTCGCGCTATACTGAGCTCAGGGCGACGGGAGGACGCTAGTTTGTGTCCTCCCGTTACCCTAAGGTGAACTATGGGGAAAAGCCTTAACCCCATAGTACTCCTTTAAAGTCCTTTACTAATAACAAAAATGTATCTTATTTGTGTGTCACTCGGCTGTAGATTCTCAAATCATCTCTGAATTGGTGCTGACACTGTCCTTCCTTCTGGAGGGTGACTACATTTGTTCCTTATGGTCCCTGTGTGTGTTGTAAAGTAGCCACCGCTCCAAGTTCCCTCCCATTATAGACTACAATCCCAATACAAATAACTAGATCTGAGATTGTAGTCTATCACAGGCGTGAGCTTGGAGCGGTGGCTACTTTACAACACACACAGGGACCATGGGGAACAAAAGTAGCCACCCTCCAGAAGGAAGGACAGTGTCAGCACCAATTCAGAGATGATTTGAGGATCTACAGCTGAGTGAATACAAATAAACTACATTTTTTGTTAATAGTTAAGGTACCTGAATGCATTTATAGAATTTATCTCCTGAGTTTAGTGTTGGTTTAAACTAAGCAAATGCAAAGACCAAAGACGAGAGGTAAAGCATGGTAGAATATGGCAGAATTCATTTTTCATTGATTTAGATTTTACTGTTTAATTGCCTTGATGAGCAAGTTGGAAAGGTTTCCCCTCTTTCAAAATGGCTTTAAGATGAAACTGTTAACTGGATAGAAATGTTTTAAGATTTAAACAGCTTTTCTCAACCTTTCACCATGGAAGAACCTGTGAAATAATTACAGTGGTACCTCGATTCACTAACTTAATTTGTTCCACGATTCTGGTCGCAAACCGAATCAAACTGTGATCAGACCGCGATCTGGACTAGAGGAAGCCACCACCATGTGTCAGAGCGGGGAAGATGGCTGTGGTTGTGTTCGTCACCCAAAACTTCCTGTTCGCGAACCAAATTGTACCACTGTATTAGATTTTACAGAAGACCTTCTAAAAATGATCATATCCACAATGCATGGGTCATTAGCATAATTAGTATATTGCTGCTATAATATAGAATAGAAGAATAAACAATAGTGTATTTTAGACCCAAGGTGGAACATTTTTTAACACCTGATACTCTATACAACAATATAACATAACATGAAACGAATGATAACACAAAATATGGAAACAATAAAAACTGTGGTGTTCCTTTACATTGGTGGCCCATGTAGTGCCCCCTTTACATTGGGGCTCAGTGGGAAAGGTGCCCTCTCTCCTTTATTTAGCTGCAGAGTGGGGAATGCCCGGGCCTGCAGATTATTCGGTGGGTGGCCCCATGTCCCTTTTGGGTTCCAAGCAGCTCAGGTTTGGACCGGGTTCAACTTCAGTCCAAACCCAAGCTCATCCCTAACCACTGCAATGTGAAGGCTGGAAGCAACATTTTCACTAAAAGAAAAAGGTATTTTGATTGGCTGTAATGGACAGCTTTGATTTACACATTACTATATGTCTTTTAAATTAGCTCCAACTTGTACTGTGCTATACTAAATTCCTACATGCCTCTGACTCTGCATGGTGAAGTAAAGGAACCTTTGTAAAATTAGGTGGGAGGATTTGCACAGTCAGACCAAACCCAAACAGTATATTTGAACAGCTTAATATGCTATAAAAATAGTAAAGGAGCGGCAATTTGCTTTTTCATCACAGAGAGCACGGATTCCTTTTTAAGTGTTAGAGATATTATGTGATTAACATGTTGGTAATTAGAAAATGGTTATTAATCTTAATGCTAAACATATTACCAAACATACAGTATATTCAAAGTGTATATAAACCCTAACAATGAACTTCTCTTATTTGCTACCCTTTGGTTTGTTAATTTACACCATTGAAAGAGTTTTATTATATCTGTTCATAAAGTGCATCAGAAACCGGTCAGAAATCTTGTTAACTGATCATTTTCTGCCTTTGCTGACTGTTATCGGTTATCAATGTTTCCAGCTATCACTGTGGACCAAAGAACACCTCCCCCTATTTATGGAGATGAGGAGGGGATGTTCATGTCTTGGGGTGACAATGGCGCTTCTCCATAGACATAGTAGAGTTAGTGAGCACTATCACCCTAGGTAAAAGTAGCTGTCCACCTAAGTGTGTTACTGGCAGGATCGCCAAGTGAAAGTAAAAGGTAGAAAAAAGCCTGATAAAAAAGAAAACTAACGCTGCCATTACATTTAAGGACTAGTACGCTGCAATGTATTACAATTTATCTTGAGTTTGAATACACTTTCAATTGTGAGTGAAGTGTGAATTTAAATGAATAAGAAAAATACTATAAAGTGACCCATAGATATTAATGTCGTGTCTTTTGGGGGAGGCAGATGTCCACTCTCTCACCACCCTCGGGGGGAACATCAACCAGAAAGGTTAGAAAATCATCCCTGATCATTATTCTTCCCCAGCAAGGTAATTAGCATCTTTCTGGGTAAGACTGAGTAAATATGTTGCTCTTATAGGTGGAGCCCAATGTGTGGAAGAAGTCCCTGACTTAAAGGTCCTGAATGTTTCAACCATAAGATCACCCTGTCACAATTTTAGATTGCCCACCCACTCGGGAGTCTTTAGTATTCCTGCGCAACTTTTGTAGGATATCCAGTGGAACCCTAATGGCTACAGTAAGTGTACAGACCCAGGGACTCTTATGCAAATATCTCATCAATAGAATCTCCTTGGCCGCCATTAGAAATTATGGGGCCCCCAGCCTACTTGACAGGCCCCTTACCCTATGCCCCCCATATCGATGGCCCTTGTTAGATGGTTTTACATTCCATGACAATGTCACCTCACATCTTGTCCATCATTTCCATTTCATCCCATTAGTATTTCATGCACATCCATGGTGCTCCACCTCTGTTTAGTCTTTCATAATTTCACCCCACTTCTGTGCTCACATGTACTCTCCTCTTTACCCTCTTTTGTTTATTCAGTGACACCATTTGCCATCTTATATCACCCCACTTTTCAACCTTGTTATGTATGGTCCCCTTTCAGTTAAAGGAGAACTATGAGGTGAGTGCTTTTTACTGACCTCATAGTTCTAGCCGACCTGTGACAATGAGACTGTCACAGGTCGGCTCAGTAGATCGGGAGGTGAGCGAACACATACCGGCGCTCACTTCTCGGTCCTGTCACGGCTCCCTGCCGTGACAGGGGAGGGGCTAGATTCCCCCCTCCCCTCTCCGATCCGCCAGCGCTGACTGGTGGAACGGACGGGGGAGGGGGCGGGTACAGCTGGCTCTGCCTCTAGATAGGCAGAGCCAGCTGTCAGTCACGCAGCTGGGCGGATCCCGGCACAATTGTCGGGACCTGCTTCAGCTGCTGCTTCTCAGTATACCGCAAGCAGCAGCTGGCGGTATACTGAGCCTAGGGTGACGGGAGGACGCTAGTTTGTGTCCTCCCGTTACCCTTAGGAGAACTATGGGGAAAGGCCTTAACCCCATAGTTCTCCTTTAAATTTTACATATATCACCCCACCTATACCGAATAAAAAGCCAAGTTCACATCCCATGTAAACAGACTGTATAATCTGGAAGTGATGTTATTCTGGTAATCTGCTTACCTGCCCTCGTGCTTAGTCTGGCATTTACTCATTGCATAAATCTCCTTTTGCTAGCTGGGTGAATATATTTCCCTTTAAATCCCTCCTCATCCCAATCACACAATTCTTGCTCATGTAATCTGGGTTTGGGCAGCTATTCCTTTGAAAGAAAACTGTGTAAACACTTCTTTTCATAAATCTTAGTGCAGTGACATGAATAAGGACTTCAATGTAATAGCGGTTGTCAGTAAGGAATCCCAGAAGTTAGGGAGCGTGTGATCAGCTGTGTCTAAGGAAAAAGTGGTTACTCGGCCTCTCATAACAGCGGCTGCCCATACACAGAGCAGATTTTCATAAGATTTGATGGTAATGTGATAACTTCCTTTTGACATGATCAAATGATAACAACTCGTTGCATTGTAATAGTTTTCTATTATTCGTACGGTATTTGTAATAATCTATCGGTTTTAATCAATAGCACACTAAACTTCAACAAATATACACTGAAGGAAAAAAAAGGATTGCTGACACATCAAAATGATTATTTTACACCACTCCCACCTAAAGCTGAACTCCAGCCTTACACAGTTGTAGCGGCTCCTCTCCTAGACTGAAAATCCTTTTGATGATTTAACTGCACACTGTGAGCTTCTGACAATGTGCATTAGAAGCTGC